AATGCACCTTAGTGAGAAAAGATTGATGCACAAAATTAGTCGGGTTCAGCAAACTACCTCTACATCTCGATCAGAAGCACCCATTGAATCACATTAAGTGCCTTACCATTAGGGTGGGCAGTGGCTATAAAAGTAATGGTCAACAAGCAACGATGCCCTTGGTAATAGCTATTCTCAAGGTTAAATAAGAAATAGAACTTAATGAGATACTAAATGGACAAAAATACTGAATAACACTGCTGATAATCAAAGTTAAGATCCAAAATTTATCTTTATGAGTAAATAATATTTACATTTTATTTTTGATGAGTTTTTTTGCCTTTGAGTGTGTGTACATTACACTACATGTATGACTTCTTATAAGGTAATATTATAAAGTTTTAACACATAAAAAACTCACTTGTCTATTTTATTCCCTTGACTAATTCCGAAATCATATCTAGCAGGTATATCTGAGCTCTCTAACATTTTATGGCAAACTAGAAATCTATCACGGCTCAGACGCTTCAAGCCCTTCCTGTATCTACGCCAATGCCACAAAGCTAAAAGTCGCGCAGACGTCCGTGGTAAGTGAGCGTTCCCCGGGGAATTAATCCCGAAGAAAGGGCGCATCTAAAAGGCAGCTAAATATCATAGGTTCACACTAGTCCCCCGTGGCACTCTCTCAACTGCAACCACTTACAGCAAATGCACTTTGTTTTCTTAACAGCTCTGTCTTATCCAAACACCCAGCTATAAATCCTGTATCGGGGAGCTTATACAAACCCAGGGCTGTGTAGAATATGAATTGTACAACTGATGCTCACAGTCAACAAGAGATTTTGTACTTCTAGGAAATGATAAGCAAAGACTTTTACTAAATGAGCGTTTGACGAGGGATTATTATAAATGCTATACTTCATTGGGTTTGGAGTTCTTAATGAAAGTGTCTGAAATTAAATACATCATATCTAAAATGCAGGCTTTGCGTTCCATTTAAATTCTAACAAGTTTAAAAAGAAAAAGAAAAATAGCAGCCACTGTCAACCATGTAGCTGGTGTGTTATATTACGCTGAAGTGTGGTTATACCAACTATACTGATACAGATGTAAAATGCTTCACAACAGAAAGTCTGAAATGATTTGTGGCTAAAGATAGAACCAGTTTATAGACCCTGTATTGTCCTGGGCTCCTCTTAAAATATTTACTTAGTAAATAGCAAGGTGGGCTGAAAATAGACTTCATGGGATTACTGACAGTAAATGAAGAGTGACATTTACAATGGTAACTATGCATAACAGAATCAAAAATCAACAACTGTGCATTCAATATGTTTTCTATTGACAGTGGGTGGTCAAATGTTGAAACATGCAACTTCAGGTCTTGAAGGGCATTTCTTCAAAAGGCATTTCTGCAGAAAATTGGATAATCACAAGTCACAATGACCATATTGACATAGCTGGTGATCAGCAAATACACAGGGTAAATAGGAAAGGCTGACCCCTGACCACAGGTTTTGTCTGCATTGTTTAACTTTGGGCAACACTCATACAACTTTCAAATTGGTTGAAAGTGTCAAACTGACTGTGCTGGTATTACTTTGCTGACTGCCTTTGTCAGTTTTTATAGTCAGTATGTTGGAATTATCCAGGTATGAGTTTTTGTAGTCTATAGTTGCATCATTCAATCTTACTGCATGCAACGGTCTTTACTAAATGGTGCATGAAAATTTACTGTATGTAAAATCATCAGGATGAAAGCGTTTGTCTGATACGTTACATATCATCATAGACGTTAATGTTACATTTGGTTATTAAACATTCATCACTCCTCAGCAACCAACAGTGTTTGTGTGGATCACTAGGTGTGACTCACTGTTCAATAATAAACCATACAGCATAACCACTGGAGTGTAGATTATCACCAAACATTACCAGGTAACTAAGGAAGAGGATCACGCCCACCATTTAGTGACATTTCAGATGTGTAGAGCATCTTTCTTTTAGTGTATAGAGCTCAGACATCAAAGCTAGCCATATTTAAATATTGTAACAGTACTGTCCTTGGTACAATATAATGTAATATGTGTTTCATACCTTTCCAGAAATGTAGGGTGTTCATTGCACTATAACATCACATCAGCAGAATGTACTGTGCCTGACAGTGATGTATTGTGCATAGCACTTTGGTAGAACGTCTCATTTAAGGTTGTATTCACATATGACATCCTGCCTATAGTTTTCAAATGTGTCTGAAAAAATACTGTCTGCAACAGGCAAAATTCTGATGCAACGCTGACCAACATTCAACAAAAACCAGGTCCAGGTTTTGCTCACTAAAACATGATTGTCCCACAATAATCTTAGAACAGTAACACAGGTGGAGAATTTCTAAAAAAGGGTCTCCATATTGTGATCAAATTTAGATCAAAGAAATGGCATATACAAGCGTTGTTGTGGCATTAGTGCAAGCTACTGTTTGGTGAGTCTTTGATAGCATTGCATTTCTTTTAACCTTGATTGTATTGTGTTTCTGTAAAACCCTGTCGGATTTGTACCCTGCTAAATTATCCCAGCCACTGATCTTCTTCTTCTTCTTTCATTTGAGGCAGCCGCCTTCAACTGGCTGAAGATTCTGCTGCCTATACGGCTAGTACGAGACGGGGTTTGCCAGGCCTCCATCCGGGTGATTTGTAGTGAATCACCAACTTCCAGACAGTATTAGTTTTTGTACCATCGCACACCAGGGCATGCCCCTACTCTTTTTCGAAAGGTGTGGTGGGTTCTTTAACGTGCGCGGGGTATGGCTCTCCCCAAACACGGGACCTCCAGTTTACGTCCTATCCGAGGGATGGCCCTAACCGAGGCTAGGTACTCATTTACACCTGAGTGAAGTGAGGAAATTCGTGTAAAGTGCCTTTCCCAAGGGCACAAGATCGGTGACATGGTTTGGTATCGAACCCAGGACCTCTAGGTCCTGAGCCGAAAGCGCTACCGCTGCGCCACACGACCCAACATGATCATGAGTGTGCATCCCTGAACCTCTTACAAAAAGCGTGATTCTGATCATTTGTCCCTGTCCCCTTGGTTGTGCATTGTAATTTGTATATTGCCCTGTTCTACATAATGTTTTATATGTGTACGATTATTGTGTATATTGTGCGATTCGACTGAACAAACCAGACTATACACTTGGTCTTGTGTTGGTGTGATAGTTAAGAGCCCTAGTCCTTCCTTTAGACCCACATGCCACAGTGTAGAAGACCTTTGCAAGATATTAATAAGACAATACATTAACTGATCATGAGGTACAATATAATAAGTGTATCTCCCTGTACCAGGTATAGTCACAACAAATACAAAACTGTCTTCCTGTGTTAATAGTTCTAGTTGAAGGTGGTCAGGCATTTTTGTGACACCTTGGGAGAGACGAAAATGTCCACATTTGTGGAAACATTGGGTTTTCTTGCATCTGAGCTTTAGTGACAAAATTTTCCAAGAAAAAGACATTCATATCCTGTAACTTAAGACTACATTTTCAATCTGTTTGTTTTTTGTACTGTTTAACCATTGTAGTACATTGTGTTGTTTCCTTGTCCTTCAGCTTTTATCTAGTACGTAATGCCCACACGTTAACCATTTAAAAATCACTCTAGCAAGAATTCTAAGTTATGCACATACAAGCAGTGAAACATTACATATTGGAATTCCTGAAGGCCTTCAACAGTGCCCAAATCCTCCCCCGTTCGAATCACTCCCACCAAAACATTGGAAATCCATTCAATTTGGAAGTCCAGCAGACCGACTGGAATGCCTGTGCCGGCCTCTTTCCGGCAGCTACACACACACACAAGGGCATACATCTAGACTTTTAAGGCTCGGCGGAGCACGATTCCTGTTCCAACCAACCTTCAGATTGTACAAGGACCGTATAACTGGCCCCATCATCTTTAACTGCGATGCTGACATGATCAGAATGCAATAGACAACGGGACAGAATGGGAACTGGGAGCTTTCCGCATACATAACTACAGTTGTCTGCTAGCGATTGAGAACAGACTCACCTGTACTATCGCGGTCTTCGATCGAACCGGGATGAAGAATATCGGATAATTTCCCCGTTTAATGACATAAAACGGCAGAAACCGATCAGAACTTATTACTCTGAAGGATCGCCCAGTACTGTTTGGGACGGTACGTGAAACACAATGCGGCACCGCCCGATCACCTGTGCGTAAGGTGTAACATAACACACTAACATGCACGTATTTTGTGTCCATGACAACTCCAAACAAATTAAAGATGCTTCTTGAGGAGTTGATACGCAAGAGTCGGCAAGACGACTCTTTCGAATTCTTAAATTTCTAACATTTAGACTCAAGCTAGCGTTACCTACCTTAAGGTTTGCTTCGAAATGAATCGTTTTCTCTTGTGTAGAAGGCCATGTCGCGACTGTATGAAGGCGGTGTGTAGAGATGTTAAGGCGGCGGGCAGGTTGGATCAGGTAGCTCAGGTGGCGCGCGCCGCCGCACGGTTTGCTACACGGGCCGCAGATGATTGGTGTGGTCAGGGGTCAGCCCCGCCCATCTTTTCGGCGGGACAGAAGAAAGATATCTGCAGTTCTATCAAGAACTGAAGGAGGTCGCGGCTACACCGTCCTTGATATAGCTGTCCTTGGTTCTGAAGTAGAGTTCCATTACTGATCCGTTTAGTTACATGCCGTTGTGTACAGGAAAGCTAACGATTTTATCAATGATGTGTATTCTTTTTTGGTAACGTCTTGGCGAAAGAAGGAATCGGGTTACTTGTATGTTGAATTTAGGCCAATGGATAGGCAACAAATCTGAGTGATCTGCGCAATACAAACGTTCTCTGTTTGATGCCGTAACGGTCCTTTTCTAGAGTAGGAGAGCTAGGGCGGAGGGTCACTCGTTTTAATCAGGCTATAAGTGTGGGTAATGAAAAACCCCGTCTCCTTGTACGGTTGTATGCTACAAAGACAACAAACAACACAAATCATGTGCCTTTGAAAGGTTTATTATACATATATAAACTTGGCGTGTCTGTACAAGAAATACGTCCTAAGAACAAAATACATACTTAGATACTGTGCGTACCACCTTTGTTGAGACTTAGCTCTGTCCAAAGTACCCTGGTAGATTAGATTTTATCCAAATTCAGAGCGAGTACCATGGGAAAAAGAGCACCTGTCGACCAAATATTGAGATGATACAGGCGATAAGACTACTCTACTTGTTTACTTCATAGTAAAACAAGACGTGTTTGCTTACATTTGATAAAGGAATGCCACAGGACCGCTGCACTATCACTGTACTCGTACAGCTGAGCATATATTTTGCACTACTGGAACTGAACATATTTTATGCCCGTGTGTACATGTGTGCAACTGGTACAAAATCTACAATTCACCAAGCGTCTCGCACAGTTTCGACACTTTAAAGCTTCAGTTGTCGGTGCCCAATGTCCTCAATCCTTTGCTCAGTAGAAGTCCGTTTGATAGTTACAAAGGTCCACAGGGAACGCCGACTTTTTGCACGTCTTCCCAACGGCCTCTGTTGAATTGCGTCGGTACTGTAGAATAGAAGAATGTGTTTGAAATTAGAGAGCAATCAATGCAATTATCATTTGCAAATCTCAGAAGTAGAAGACTTCCTTCATAGTAACAATTCACACAATGTAAACGACGTACCCAATTTGTTGTCCGTCCTTTGATGTCCGGTAGGTGGCGCTTCAGCTCCTGTCGTTAGAGTTCTTCCTCTTTCTTTCCGTGTTTTGGAACTTTGTGACGGTTATCCTGACGTTTCCACACGGGTCGAAACGTTGACTGTGCAGCTCCTGTTCGCGTTTCGTCCTGCCCTTGCCGCTTCCTTGTCCTGTAGCCACGAAAAACAAATGGTTAACAAATCTAACTGAGGGGATATCGGAATCCGTTCAAAAAAGTTAACAGGCTGTGTCTAGCTTCCTCTATTCGGTACAAGTTCCCCATTCCTGTTTTAACAACAAATCTCTCTTCATGCATAATCCAAGGGTCTCATTCCACTTGTCTTGGTTTGAATTTTAAGTCACCGTACAAGGAAGAACGTCTTATCAGTACCAAAAGCAAGGCACTGGAACAGACGGAAGATCAAGTTGCTTGCCTCAAGCACTTTGAAGGCATCAGTGGGATGTGTGGAACGTGCTTCTTATCTGAGTTTCTACGCTCTAGTTCATTTTAACCAATCCATCTACTTTTTTATCATAGAGTTGGTCAAACCAGGTGTTAGCAAATGAGTGTTTAAAATCCATTAAAACGACGAAGGAATACACAATAATGTTTTGTCGTCCCGGGTAATTGAATGATAGCACCATTCTGATGTTTTGCTTAGCTCTACGACCACTAACAGAGACTACATTTCCAAGTTAATCATTTAATTGCTTATCCTTTTACCCAACGAAAACAAATTTAACACCTGAGGCATAGCTGTTGAGTCTTAAGACTGCCACTTAGTTTGTAAAGCGGAACGGAATGCCAAACTCTTCAAACAACATCCCAACAAAAGGTCACCCCAAATTTTGTTCTGTTCAGTCGCAGAAGTACAAAAGTACAGGTCACCACCTGTCACGGGTTGAGAACAATGGTACGATTGTGACTTTCCCAGGTACAAAAATCCCCAGTATAAACTAGTTGTTTGAAGGTTAAAGTGTAGAACTATGTGTGTATGACCCTGTGAACCTATGCATCCGCTTTTCTCACGAACAAGTCTTCGCCAATTGTTGTATCAACAGAAACATCGCGAGGAAGCCTAAATTGAGAATCTTGACAATGTGACGAGTCGAGTGTTTATCGGGACAAGTATGCCACCTTCCTCGCTGCCAGACAAAATGTCGGGGAAGAATTTGTCCAAATGCCCCCAAACAATGGCAAGTCGCCAAATATTTGTACTTAAGTCTGGGGTGGCTGCTTCGGTCGCCTTTTTCTCGGAAAGGTTTTTAACGTTCTGTGGGCTGAAATACATATTTCGGGGAGCAATGATTTAAAAAGAAAAGCTCTATGTACATATTCCGTTCTGTACTATGTAGGGGAGCACTGAGAGAAAAATACCTAGCTTACCTGATGCAACTATTTTGTCAGTGTCGAAGTTGTAATACTCGTATTCGTCATAGTAGTTGCTCTCGAAGAACTGCATACCGTCCTGTGGACTCGACATGTTGAAGTACGTTTCGGAAAACACGAGAAAAAACTACAAAGTTTGCCCCAAAAATGGCGGAAACGATTCGAAAAGGTAGATCTGATAGCCAGGCGACCCAAACAAATGTGGGGTCTGTATGCAACCCAACCTGTTTTTATCGTCTGCAGCACCAAACAATGATGTCACCAACACGCCGCCCCATTGGACGATCAGTAAGGACATCTCAACCGGTGTGGCACAGCGGAACCAATCAGGAACGTTGTTATGTGGGTGGATTTGTTTTGAAACATAGAGACGGGAGTCCCATGACTGTGCTCCTGGTCCACGTGGCTTGTTGTAACGTCCACAATGGTTCATCTAGAAGGTTCAAAGTACCGATTTCGTCGTCATGATTCAAATAAGCTTATCTCAAGGGGATGACGCCGACCAATGATTCACCGGGGTGCGTGTTTGTGTGCTATTAACGCAACTGACGCAACAGGTGGTTTTTCCAGGGGTTTCGATGGGAAACTAGCGGGCCTGTAGCTAAACTTTTGTAGGCATGTTTTCTCTGGACTAACTTCCTTTTTCAGGGCGGAACAAGTAAGTATAAAACCAACATAATGACAAAACTGGAAAAAAACGCGATTTACCATGATAGTTTTTTTTTCTGAATGTCACAAAATGACAACTCATGTAACAGAGTTTAACCTTCAAAAGACCATAAAATTGACTCACAATAACAGACGATGAGCTATTGAATCAGCCTTCTAGAACTTTCCATTCCTTCCCAAATTACGTATTATTGCATCACACAAGCAAAACTGGTACTTTCCCCCACACCCTTTAGCGGTTCGTAACCAATTCCAAGTCGACCTAGGCATGTTTTTCTCAAGACTACCTCCCTCTTTCTAGGCGGAACAAAAAAGCCGAAATCATTACAGAATTTAAAAAAATACCCATGTGTTGCCAAGTTTTATCTGCAACCACATAAAGTAGTAACAGAATATTAAGCCAGACAATTTCCCGCCTTGATGTGTCCTTAAAACACCTTAAAACACACAATAACAGAAGATCAGAAACTTAATCATTGGAGCCTTCTAGAATTCGAACTTTCCATTCCTTCCCAAATCGCATATCATTGTTTTATCACACGAACAAAACTTGTACTTTCGCCACACCTTTCCTCTGAATTCTATTTGATAAACGCACGACGTAACGATACAGGAAAAAAACATCAGACGATAAACAATGACGTTACAGGAAACCGTTAGGTTACCGATCGATAACCTACGCGATGAGTGACTTATAAAAGAGCCCTTGTGGACGGTAAGGGTCTAACTGCATGGCGTCTGAATGTTGTTATTTGTAAGGAGTGGTCTGGTACATACGTGTTCTTGTTGGTATGCCTGGTTCTGGGAAATGCATTCCACACGTCACGCACTTGAAACGATCGGCCAAGTTTTCACACTCTGGGGACACAGTAAAAACGCGTGGAATTTTTCATCTCTGTCAAATCTAGAAAGGATATTAGTCTTTGCTCTAGACATGGTTTAATACATTGTCGATACCCAATTATGTTGTTGAATTCCCCAATCACAATTTTCTGACGAGATACCAATTTGTCCTACAAGTTTATTAATGTAATCTGCCGATTAACCCAGCAAAAAATGACGCGCGACATCACAAGGCCCACCACACATCTGCTTCGAAATGAATGCTTTCAACCACCTGTTGGATTGCGCACATCGTCTACGTATTGTCACGTTTCTAAACAGGAATTTCTTTGCTTTTCTCACACTAATCATTCTCCAATACACGTTACATCCGTGAAACAACGCTGCCGTGTATAAAATATAGCCTCCACCAGGCCTTTCTGTGGGAATACGGATCGTAGAATTTCGGCAAAAAAAGAGAGTAAAATTGGCCAAGGGAGTCCGGTCGCGGGAGGTAGTTTCTTTCCCTCCGCGGCCCAGTCAAACCCACAAGGTGGCCAAACTCCCCTGGCAAATATTCTCCTATATATTGCCAGCATATTTAGTCTGGTAGAGACTATATAAAATATATGAACGCTATTTGGGTTGTTAGGTGGGATCTGCCACGTCCGCAAATATTTGAACTAATAGAGCGAACAGTAAATGTTTACCAAACTCTTCGACCGGAACGAACAAAACAACTCACACAGAGTCATGGCTATGTCTAGACAATGGCAAACAGCTAGGCGTAACAGACGGTCAAGTACATTAAGTACAGAAGGCCGTTGTAAGAGGTTTGAATTTAAAGGATCGCTGTAAATGTAGCGGCAAATTCAACATCCTGTTTTTGAGCACAGTAGTTGTAGCATAGCGCCATGAATGGATCGATGTGGCATAGCTAGGTAAATATATTTTAACGGGTAAACATAATCTAAGCATGGATAAAACCTCTGGCTTGTTGTACGAACATATCAATGCAATAGTATACAGTATTTCATATTTTCCATAGCCTTTGAAATCGGACACATCTGATAGTTCCATAATCAAAAAATCAAAATATATCTGTTATATTTTGACTTTTTGCTGTTGATATTTAAAGAACTCCGCTAAGTATCAGTGACCTTTTTCAAAAGTGTGCAGGGATTATGTCTCCATCCCTCTGCCTATTTTTGTTCTCTATCAACAACATTGTTTGGACTGAATCCAAGGTAAGGACTAAACCTTGTACCAAAATAACAGTACGTGTCTACCTTGAAATTTCAACATAACATGATGGTTGAAGAGTTCAATTCAAAGTTGAAGAGTTCACAGAAGTGGTAAAAGAATTTCTCAGACAATTATCAAATGTTGAAAAGGACAAAAAACAAAGAATTCTTCTCTTATTTCAATGTATCACTTTAATGCACAATAGTGAAAATGAAAATAGTTGATGTTACAGTTTGTTATACCTGAAACATCCAATTAATTCAAAGACCTGTACAAAGTACATGTACTAGTATATACTGAGATATGAACAGTTGTATTAAGCATTGATAACAGCAATAAATATTTATTATTTTAAGTTGAGAAATTGCACTGCCCAAATTATAGGAATCTATTAAATTACATAATCAATATATCGTTAATTGAAACAATGAAGCAACCATCACTAACTTCCAGTTGTACATGCACACCACTATGAGACTTGGAATACTAGTATCTATTTCAGTATGACCCAGTATAATGTACATGAAATATAATAAGTGCATTGGTTTCTCCCGATCAGCTCTTTCATTCCTAGTATGCTAGTCTAATTATCAATAATTCATACCACATAACACTGCTATACAATGCTACGCAACATAATTATGCATTTGATTATAACAAAAATACATGATTTTGGAGATAATACAGTCACTAGGTGCAGAGCTATCTGAGTTTTATCATTATTTGTAACTTCTATCAAGCAGACAAGTCAAAGAATCTGTCGATTGTGGCAGAAACCTCCTCTGCAGAGTACTTGATGTATTTCTCAGGGTTCTTGGTGAACTGCATCGGCTCATACCTGGAAAAACAGTGAAATTGTATCATTATAAGGCTTTGGTTTCAAGCAGTATATCTTGTGTTCTATGATATTCAAGGATCTTACATGGAATGTGGCATCAAACAGCTGTGTGGTTAGGCTTTCTTGCATTCCTGGTTAGACGTTGTATATGTATCTGTATCTGTATAGCCATTACAACCGCCTTTCAGAGTAACACACCAGCTTTGCAGGCACGCGGCACGGCGGCAGCTGGCTGCATTATACCGAACGACTTGTTACACTTAACCCTAACTTAACCCAAGTGTCATAAGTGTAAGGAAAAACTGAAATACATTACTATTCTACATGATCAAAATCTGAAGATTTGGATCAGTTCAAACCATGAAGAACAACAGTGATATTATAAAACATGAGCATACTTCTCTCTGAAGGCTGTGTAGGCGGGTAGGATGAATTCCTTGTTGTCGTTTCTAAGTGACTGCCTCAGCTCGTGGTCCGGGATAGCGTAACCCTTCTGTGTACGATAGATGTCATCAAACTCCTGGTTGAAACCCTACAGGGAAAACAGAAAAGTTATGTCAAGTGAAATGGCAAAATGTCTGATCCTACTTGAGTTTGATCACACTATTCAGTTTTGTTCAACAGAAAAGGCTGTAACAAGTATTCAAACTTCAATTATCTGAATACATGTGGACGTGGATCATCTACTACTACACACAAAATATCATGAAAACTCAGTCACACATTTTGAGTTATCTTTCTTGTCCACAAACATTTCTATTGATAACGCAAATAAGCAATAGACAAGGAAATAAGCTATTTTCAACTAAATCATTATCCCCTGGAAAGAAGTAATGAAGAAATAACCAACAAACTTACCTTGAACCTATCCTTGATAGTCTGTCGCTCCTTGTCCTTCAGCTAGGGAAAGAGTTAAAAACATTCCTTTAAGATAAAAGCATCTGGACATGTTTCATCAATTGAATGTAACATATGAGCTGTGGCTTGAGTGGAGGACTGTAAGACTCTAACTGCAATGAAAAAAGACTTGGACTACTAGTATTTAAATACTGCAGAATATTGAATATTGAGTGACAAAAAAGGGCAGAGTAATGTTCTAAATCAAACAGGTGAGTGAGAAATTGATTGAATCTAAAGAAAAGGAATTTCAACACACTAACTCCTACGGAGGAAAATATATCTATCATCTGGGTATCCAAAAAAGAATGACTGATGTTTCTTAATTTTTGCATGTTACTGCAAAATACACTAAAGGTTAAACATTTTGATCTACTGTAAAATGTTTATTCTCTAAATCTGATCTGTGTTTTTAGTGCAGTACAATTACAAAACCAACTAATTCTCTAAAAAAGACTATTATAGACACTTGAAATGGACATCACACCATATTGCTAGAAAACAACATATTCCATGCTGGGCACCTCTGTGATAATGATCCACATTGTAACGTTAAGGCTCTATCTACTGTGCTTGTTAGCTTAAACTTGTTGGCCTGATTTACCTTGAATTTCTGTGGAATAGGACATTGATGAGGCTCGCTCACAACAGCAACAAGAACAAAACACACACACAACATACAAAATGGGTCAGGTAGGCCTCCTGTCTCCCCCTAACGGTACTGCATGCATCTTTATGCATCTATACAAAATGATGCCAATAGCTGGTACATGTAGTAACTAGGGCATGCTCTTTGTGTATAATATCAAGGTTAAAAGGTTCTGAGTGGGTAAGGGTAAGGGTTAGAAGCACAATGTTCCTAAAAAAAGGCAAGAGCCCTCTAGAGAATTTTTCTAGAATTGGCTTTTAGGGATTACGTTTTACATTTTGCGTCATAATGAAATCTAAAAAAAGTGTTTGAAAGGATCAAAGGCATTATATGTCATTGAATGGATGACGCTATATACTAGTAGCATTTATAAGGAGGGAGCAAGGGGGCAGTTTCTGACTTAAGCAATTAGGTAGGTAGGCTGATACTTTGCACCTACTAAGATTAAATCATACACTGGGGAGACAACAAGCCTTCTGTTTGGTCACACAAAAAGGAAAAATGAACACTATACAATACAAATTACAATACAATGAAATGAATTCATGTTTCATGCAAATCGTTTTTCATGCTTTCAAGGATCCATAACGAAGCATGCATGAACAAAACTACAACAACTCACTCCAGCTTTCTTCTATTTCAGATTTAAGGACAATCCTCTCAAGGGAACTTAGAAAAGAGGTAACTAAAATTAGTAGCAGCTGACCATGCCTGTAATACATGTAACTAAATACTGTACTGTAGGATCCTAAGGGTTGGGGCTGTGTAAAAATTGATTAAAATGAAATGAACAATTGACAGAAAAAAAAACACAGACTGCACAAACTATAGATTCGAAAAAAAATCTCAACATTTTTTTCACACAGCCCCATCTCTTCATTGCCCCCTGGTGAGTTTTGTTGGTATTACACGTGTTCAGACTAGACCGTACCTTGCCCATCTGGGGAGCAGCTCTCTGCTGGGAAACTGTCTTCCCACTGATCTCTAGAATGTGACGTAATACTCCACTCCAGCTGAAACAGGGAATTGAAGATTTTATACCATAAGTATTTGGGGTTGTGAACTGCTTGTTTTATTCATTAGGCCACACCAATTTAATTTCTTGGTTAACAGATTCGCCTGCTTCATTTGAAAATAAAAATAACAAGTAAAATCTGAGATTTTATACCTCCGGGCTTTTTATTGTATATTTCTATATGTTGTTTGTTATGTATAGTTGATGGTGTTGAATTTTATGTGTTTAGCGTTCCTGGTTGTGTTAACACAGGTCAACATTTTCATCTGCAGCCCATAACATGTACCCATGAACTTATGAAATTCTATTTAATCTGCCGCAATGAACTCGTAATGAAACTCAGAATGACAACCGGAACCGTTAAATCAGACGTTAAAAATAACGGCTGAAGTAGCAAGCCATCCTTATTGTCACTTCCTCCATTTTCCGCCAATTCTTCGTATAAATCGGGGAAGTAAAGGTCTGAATCCTCGGTAAAAATGCACGCCGAGAACGTCTGAGACCGTATACCGCGGTATTTGTAAGTTAGTAGTCGTAATATACGCCGAAAACATCCAAAACAAAGATTGCGCAAGAGTACGTTGACCCCTGACCCATTGACCAACCCGGAAGTTGCTGCCGATCACGCGTCCTGTGAACGCGTACTAAAAATACGCTCCAAACAACATTTGTTGCGCCTCGCATACAGAAGATGTATGTGCACAACAACAATTGTTGCGCGCCGCAAGACTAAGAATTTATTGAGACCCGTCACCCCTCTGTGCGACTGTGGACGAGACCGACTATATCTGACACACGCAAAAGATCGACGGTCGCGACCCACTTTCTCACTCAAGGGATGTTCTGGGGCAATCAAAAGGCTCCATTTTCACGCCCGAAAACACATATACAATAAAAACAAAAGAACGTGCATCATCTGCAGCCCGATAGCAAAACATATAACGAGTCTCAAAAGAATCCGTCCACTCAAACGCGAGGAATCGCTGCGAACGTGAAATTCTAAAACTCTCACAAAGCCCTTCCGCGGAAGGATGTCTCCTCCCCCGGAGGTAAAAATTCAGAATCAACTGCAAAATGCTCATATTTTGCCCTGAACAGTTGAAAACAGTCCTTTTCATCCTAGTTGTTACAGTTATTCCATCTTTCAGTGCAATGGTATCATTAAAAGTTCAAAATTCGTTGTTTAAATTTTGAACCAGCCTGGTGTGTTGATTTCATGGCTCCTATCATACCATTTTGGGCCATAATAGGATGCCTAGGCCTGTTTTTATTTTTTCATTTTTTTTCGCCCGCTCGCTCCATTATTTTTCTAGAAAAATCCGTTAACCAAGAAATTAAATTGGTGTGGCCTTATTGTGAATTTCTTGCTTGGTTCTGTTTTGACTTCCAATTTGACCTTCCTGTCAGTCTGTGTTTACAATCAAGGGTTTGTCATTTACCGTGACAATTTCACTAAATGGCCACCAAATCCTATAGACTTACTAACTACAACTGTAACAGGACAGTAATGTCTACCTCTTTGAGTACAATCTCTTCTGCTCCCTGATAATGTCTTCATAGTGCTCTACAATGTCGCTGGTCTGCAGCACCACCACTTGAAGCAGGCCGGAACTGCAGGCAAAGGGACACCATATCATTAGATTTTGCCTACAAATGTAGCTAGGGGTAGTATATTCCTTCACTGCAACTTATAAAGATACCAAAAGATAATATGTATACCACAGTCACCATAAACAGGTGCCCACCAACCTTTTTATAGTCTTTAAGATGTAGTGATAGTTATTGAGGAGGAAGATAGCTGTCAGGGCTGGGTCGTCATATCCCTTGGCCTTATTCTCCAGGTTCAGCTGAAGAGCTCCCAGGACCTTACCTGGAAAGGAGGAAGAAATGAGTTAGATTCAGATTCAGCTTAATTGACATTGGCATGACATGTTCGATGAAATTTAAAACATGAACTGAGCCAACATTCATGACAATATTCAAAATACATGTACAGAGAGCAGATAAAAAGTACAACATTTTAAAATGCGATTTAATAACCCTTTACACGGACAATATACATTATGTCCCTAAGTACAACTATTTATACATAATTTGCATATCGTTAGGAAGTAGTAAGTTGTAACACGGAGTTCCATGGTTGTAAGAATTAGAGTTAGGAGCAGACTAGGAAAGATTGCACAAGCTTGGGTGCTAATAATAGAGAGAAAAACATTGGGCTGTGTATAATACTCATTCCCACTTATAATATTGAGTACAACTATCAACAAATACTTTTCCTTCTTAAAGGTCAAAATTGCTTCAGAATCTAAAGAATCATGTGTTCAATAAGACCAGCATGTGTACAAAAAAATTCATGTACTTACCAATATATATGGACAGCTTCCTCTCATTGACTTCTGCAGCCTGCATGTCACGTCCTGCAGGGTCTGAAAGTTTATAGTGACACAGGAGGTCACCAACCCGCTTTCTTAAAGTTGTATTTTGCTTTCCTTAACTAAAGTATTCACTAAAATCTTCTTCAATCTTTGCATGTGAGAATACTTGACTGACTACCATGCAAAAGTTTTGATGTCCGGTATTCATAGCCTCCTGTGCAGGCTCTGGGGCTGGTGGGAATTTTGATACCGCGTTTTGAAGGGTTTTTAACACGTTTTTTTAATAGCTGGCCATCCTACAACCAGCCTCCGAGAGAAGGTTCCATTCCGCCCACGGTTTAGGATGGCCGGCTATTAAAATAACGCGTTAAAAACTCTTCAAAACGCTGTATCAAAATTCCCACCCGCCCCGGGGCCTGCACAGGAGGCTATGTATTCAACTGTTCAAATGAAAACAATTTCACTGGTTCTTTGAAAATAGAAGCTGATACAGACAAGAACTCAGACAAGATTAGCAGCATCTCTCTACTCATCATTTCTTAGTAATCTTACCATGCCTTACTACCCCGGTATCATGCCTGAAACATCTTAACGTACTTCACAGGACATCTTCCTAGCAATGTGAAAACTTAAATCAAAGGTACATAAACTCTAATAAAATACCATTGACACAACAAAAGGGTAAGCATTTTTGGCTTCATTTGATAATAAACTTGCAAAGAAAAGTTCTAAAGGGAAGTTGGAAACAGAAGAGAGATTGAAAGCAGGAGGAACTACACACAGGTGTCTACTGGGCGCCAGCCGGCAGCAACTACAGGAGGAACAGAAGCAGGTCAACATGTGGCATTCTACAGGGTGTGTTCTCACAAAGCAACGTGAACAACAAAACTAGTGGGAAAAACTTTGTATCATTGTGCAAAAATCTACGACAATGAAGGACATTTCAGCTCTAGTCATGTACATTCAGTGAGTCTTTTTCCTATCATAGATTCTGAGATTTATTGATGTCTAAAGAAACATATACTTGTCATCTACAAAGAATTACTATTTACTTAAATTTTACACTGCCCTGGTGCATGCTATGAACATATAGTAACTACAATTTGTATTTCTACTTTTAGATACAGTTTAGACTTGATGGTCACAAAGTTTTACACAAAGATATGAGACAAGGCTCTACTACAGTTGTACCAGTAAATCGTCCTCTCACCTTGTGCTGCCAACATCCCACCAGCTGTATGTAAGTATTCTAGAAGATTCTGAAGGAAGATCATAGCCTACAGTGATAAGAATATAGAAAAAAACACAATAAGCCATCAAGCTAGAATTCAAAATCTATGGTAGTACATAGTATTCTTACAATCTCTTACTTGTGTCACTGTAGTCATAGCTAGTAATGACTTACTCTGAATTCTGCATAGGACACATTTGAGCGAAAGATCTAGATGATATTGGGAGTAAACAATACAAGTTCTTACATTGCTGGTCAGCTCATGCACTGTCCCATCCTTGGGCATGTTGGACTGCTTGTCTGGGTCATTCTGTATGTGTGACAGAAAACATGAAACTGCAATGGCAAAACAGGGCTTGGGTTTCATGGTTTACAGTTTATCTATCAACCCTCTTATTTTCATTCTTGAAAACCCTCCAACAACCCCTGAATGGGGTATTAATGTCAGTATCTGTACAACTGAAACCAGCTGGTTCCACTCTCTTATTGTGCATGGAACAAAAAAGGAAAACTGAAGCAATCTTTGTGTGCAGCAGCTGATCAAAATTTGAAGCAGTCAGTCGATATGAAATTACCATTGCCATTTTTTATTTCAACGCGAGAATACCTTAATGAGAATTTAAGTCAATAAAAAAATGACTCGCCGGTCGAAAATTCTGGTGAGTCAATTTTCTTGAGTTGGAGAACAGTTTAAGTCTCATTAGGCCACAGCAAGTAAATTTCATGGATGACATCCTCTGCAGACTCCAAATCTAATGCGAGCGGGCGAAAAAAAAACAAGGCGGGCCAAAAAAAAGGTTCCTACATTATAAAATTTTGACTCAATCATTGAACGAATGGCTTTTATTTGGTGGGAACATCACATATACACAGCCATCATCACATATCATTGCATCAAAGTAAGAAACAAAACATTAAATCAGAGCCTTTTCTTGTCTCCTCTCGTCATAGTTATCTGCCATCCACCTTCCGGCATAGCAACAGACATCTTTGCCCATTTTCGCCATGTTGACCACTGTCAGAAGGCAACAAAATTTCTTGTTTTTTTTCCCCAAAATCAGGCGAAAATTAATGCGCGCGCCGATGTCATCCATAAAAATTACTTGCTGTGGCCTTATGTATTTTACCAACTCAGATGAACTTTCATGCTAATGAGGGTACCTTGATGGAGTCGATGAACTCCTCCAGTGCCTTTGCTCCTGTTGTGTCCAGGGTGGACATGAGACTGGGCAGTTTGTGTCCCTGTTCAGTTCCCTGTAGTGGAAAACAACCTGTCATCATCTCAGCTTCAAGTTATTCAGCCTCAGAGAAGTACGAGATATTCAGATTATTGTTCTCTCATTATCAGAACCTGATATCAATGCCAACATGGAGTTAAAATACTACAATACTGTATAACTTGTATCTCATTTTAGCCACAATGAATTTCGTCTCAGAAATAATGTGATGTGAAAAAAAGGATGTCTGACTAAAAAAAATGTTGCATTCTAACCAAAACATAGAAGTTGTGACTATGACTTAAAATCTACATATTTTGGTCCACGACAGTCAAATATGATGCACTAAAATATTAAACTATATATATATATAGTAATATTTGTAAGATGTTAGATAACATGTATACTTGAGAATATTGTAACAGTGGGGTGTTTATAGGCACTACCAACTGACCCAGCCGCTGGGTCTAGACCATTTTGGCCGAGTGGTTAGAGCATCGGATTTTGCTCGGGAGGTCGTGGGTTCGAACCCCGACCCGGGACCAGGGGTTTTTATCTGTTTCTACTTGCTACTCCTGTTTCTTACAGTATCATAGAAGACGCCTCACCTCTAGTGCTTTCTCATAGTCTGGGTTGATGGCCCTCAGATGTTTAAGAACAGGGAAGATGGACAGAACAGCTGAGTAGTCATGTTTACCTATACATCTCTTAGCAGAGGTGGCTATGTTCTGTGGGAGACAAGGGATAATCCATTAGAGAATATAATTGTCACATATCAAAGTTGCCATTTCAATTTCTGACCATTTCTTCTTGTGTACCAATTCTCAGCCTTTTCATAGGGTTATAAAGAAACCAAAGAAACAGTTACAGTCAATACTGCCTCAAATGACCACTCGCATCTATGTGGTAAGTGGAATGACAAGTGTATAGACAGGGTTGCTTGTGTCAATCATATGAAGGACTACCAAAAAGTGGTCACATTGGCCAGGTGGTCCTTTTGTAGATGCGGTCACTGACTGATCATGACTAATTTTTAAAAGAGAAAAACTCGAAAATATCTAGTTCCAACAAACCCCTATTCCAATGATTTATATAGTATACACACACACGTATAATAAAAAGCAGGACGACAAATACAAAATGTATGTGTTATCTGATTGCAGCACTAACCTCCACATCTGCCACCACACCATCCATGGACTGTTGGACCAGCTGTTCAAAGATTTTGTTGTGATCTCCCCGAGGGATCACACCTTCCATCAACTTAGACTCACTCTGTAAAAAAAAAAAAAACACAGAGAAGTCAGGAATCATACACATAATTGTCATATTCACACCAACCTCATGCACATCTTTGCAAGTATGAATTGTCAGGCTCTGCTCATTTGAAATGCTATCACTCACTCATTCACTCACTCGTGTGGCTCAATGGCAGAGTGTTGAGCTCAGAACCTAGAGGTCCCGGGTTCGAATCCTGCCATGTCACCGATCTTGTGCCCTTGGGAAAGGCACTTAACACGACTTCCTCTTTTTACACAGGTGGAATTGAGTACCTAGCTTCAGTTAGGGATGTCCCTCAAATAGGACACACACCCCATGTATTTCAAGAACCCACCACGACTTTCAAAAAAGAGTAGGGGCATGCCCCAGTGGGTGATGGTCAAAATACCAATATCTGGTGATTGACTACAGACTCCAGGAAGAATAGTGTGATTCCCACAGTGGCACTAATAGAGATACTAAATACATTTGTAAAACAAACAAGACTCTCTAGTGGTTTTAAGTAAAAATGTCCAGACCCCCTACCTGCATGAGTTTGAGTAGTGCAGAGATACAGAGGATGCAGGTGTCTGTCTCCGTGTCAGACACATCGTCTTTCAACTCAGCCACAGCAGTAGAACCCTGCCGACGTGCTGGGAGGGAGGCAAGCTACAGTTCAAGGGACTTTCACATACCTAGAACTGTTGTTTTATACTTCATAACTGTGTTAATAGTTCGCTATTTCGGACGGAGGCGTGGCGAACCCCGTCTTGTATTAAGCTAACGAAAGGGTATGCCACCTCGTAAGGGGCGGTATAACCCCGACCAATACGGTCGACCGATGATGATGATGAATAGTTCGCTAGGCTTGGGGGTTCTAGGCTGTTGCTATTTAGGTACTTTTGTTGTGTACAACATCTTACTGAACAGTATAACACAAAAAAAAGTACTCAAATCTCCTACATTGAATATTATTTTTGGTTTGTTTACAAACATAAGTTAACATACAAATACGTTTTAAATACTGGTTGGTATTACAGCAAACAGAAAAAGCATCATTCCTGAAACTTGAGTTGAAAATAAGTGTGTCTATTCCTTAAAACCCACCTTTTCTGTCATACATCTTACCTGTGTCTAATGTCAGGGAGGAATGCTTCATGATGGAAGAGCCAGCTTTCCGGATTATACTAGAATACAACCGTAAAAATGTTACCTCTCAATGATCAGGTAACATTTGCAAGTTTATCAGTAGCAATTGGACAATTGAAAAATACCATGTAGCACAATGGTTTCACATCTAGCACATAGCATTTCTGCTTTATGAACTTTACCAGGATTTAATCATACATACGTTCTCCCTTTCAGGTAGGCAGTTTTCTTGGTGGGTGTGTCCTTTAATGCCAGCTTTCTGCTACCTCCCTGATAGAATTTGAATGTGAAACGTGACTTACTAGTAGTTACCACAATACAAGTACAGTATAAAACTTATTTACATGGCCATACTGCTATGTTAACCTAACCCTGTAACCAATAGAAAATTGGTGTCCAACTTCAGTATGCTTAAGATTAAAGCCATGCTTCCAGCAAATAGTGTGCAAATATTTTATCGTTTGTGACATTTTACCTGTTTTTCTTTTTTTAACTGTATGTGACAGGAATACATGTATTATAAGTATGTTGAATAAAGTCCTACTAGTTCTCAACAAACTAACTTTAGTTTATCAAACAAATTACATGTATCAACATTTCAGAATATTTTCTGTTATTCTTACAGAGGCAGGTGAAACTCCTGCTGCTGCCCCAGTCTTTGCCTGGTGTTGTTTTAACCTGCAAGGTACAATAATAATAATAATAATAATAATAATAATACTCAAAACAATAGATATGGTGTAGAAGGAATATTTAACATAATACAGAATTCACCAACACATGCTCTTCCCAAACTACATGTACAGATGCTCCAAACTGTTCTTATAAAAATACTACATATACATGGTATTTTCCCCTTTATTTTGGTTAAAGCATATTACTGATACCAGTTGTGCTATGGAATAAGGATGCATTATCATGCATACATTTGTATGCTTGACAAATACTAGCAGCTAGACATAAAGAGTAACTGTAATACTCACCCATCTAGGGACCTGATCAGTGTGTTTGACCTGATTTGGGCATACACGTTCATGAAATCTGGAAAGAATTGAAACAATACATGATTTACCACCTTTCATATCTGGTTTTAAAAAATAACAATCAATCATCTAGAAACTATCGTTTGAAAGCATCTAGATCAGTAAGAAGATAAAATACTAGTATCTTACCTGTGCTGTTTTGTGAGATGAGCCAGCTGGAGATTTCTGTTAATTCTGCAACTGTCCTCTCTAATGAACACAACAACACCTTGTGAATACATGTATATGTATAATATACATGTATTTGCAGTATACATGTAATAGTATAATACACATCTAGTACAATAAGAAGAAATGACTATGATACATGTACTCATACTATCCTGACTTACCTGGTAAATGCTCCAGAGGAATATCATCTGAATCTGAAAATACAGTAATCATACAGAATGTTTATGAGTAAGATGTGGTCAGTGTAGTAAGTTACATAAGCATAAATCATATCATCAATACATGGATATCATTTAGGAACATACATGTACATGCAAAAGTCTAAAGATAAACATGTACATGTGTCACGTAGTAGATGGAGTAGATGACGTAACGGTTAATTTAATATCTATATTAATCAATATAAATCCAACACTGAGGACATTCAAGGTCATCCACCATTCAAGGACACTGTTTACACTGTAAGGACATCTAAGGACACAGTCTAAGGACACAGTAGGAATGTAAGGGTTAATGGGTGGAACATTGAGGTTACACGTCTATGGTAGGTTACGTAAGGTAGGAGCGTAAAACATAACTAAATATGGTAATAGTCCCTTCTTCTAGGCCACATAACACAGATTTAGGGACAACTTCAAGTTCAGTAATAAGAAGTCCATTCATTTAAAAAGTAGTAAACAAGTCCCTTAATTTAGTTCAAGGTAAAACAGAGTTGTCATCAGAGAGATAGATGCTTTCTTGAGTCAGTCTTCTCTTGAGCGGAGCGAGAGAGGCTCATACTTTGTGTAACTCCGTTAACTGGGGAATAAACCAAATTAACAACTACAACTTTCCGACTAATCCTTTGTGGACGACGCTCCATGACCACCGTACTAGAAGGGAGCATCGCCACACATGTATACAATTATTGAAAAGAAGTACTAGTAACTTATTGTACATGATTATGTACCAAAGTTCTAGCTTATAAAGATAAGAGTTCATAAGTGATATCTCAGTCTTTCAAAATCTAATTGTACAAGTAAAAAAGCTGGTTAGAATTGAAGATGATCATGGATATTTTATTCCTTGACTTATACTTACCATCTTCTGTCCCCAGCATGTCCAGTATGGTGACCGCCGGTACGGGCCGGCTGTGTCTGGTCAGCAGGTTCCGGAACTCTCTCTCCAGCTGGTCTTTCCCTGACTCAAACAGTTGTGTCTACACGTGGAAAAAGAAGGCATTGTGCCCTTGGACATTAACTTGTAATCTGTTATTGTAAATGTTTTTAGGGATAATTACAATGTAAATCAGGATACATGTACATGCATTTAATTGGGCTTTTGATACATACATCTATACAATATAAATTTACCTAGCACTTTGAATTAGGTTAAATTTGGTAGGTAAAGATGATAAAGATACAATATACTTTAAGTCCTGATTTTTTTTCTATACTAGTACTATTATGTTCACTGTTTTCACTGTCACTTCTGTATTATGAACTTATCATTACAGTTAACAAATAATTCCTGGACTTTCTTTTTCCTGCACCTGTTGCCACCGTGAATATATAGTTCCGTGAACATGTCCATACAAATGTATTTCTCAGACCACAACATTTTGCTACCGTGAACATAAAGTGAATTACAATACCAAGTGGACTGATTTCTTACCACTGTGTGCAGTTCAGGACTGCCAGGGTTGTTTTCACTGAAGAAGTTGACAGCGTTCTGTACCCTGTCCATGCTCTGGAGGTACGACTCCAAACGACCTGTGGGTCTGTAGGGCAGAACATGGCAACACAAGACTTAGGAACTGCCCACAAAAGACATATACATGTATACAGTACTGTAAATCGTTTAACTTTTGCTGTGCTTTTTATTTCTGCAGCTTTGCGGTGACCCCTCCACCATGTACTCATGACACAATGAATACTAGTATGTCTTCCTTGTATGCCTACTGTAGGACATAATTGTTTCAACTATGAAATTAAAACACTGTGAAAACCTTCCTTTCCCTCCTACTGTGAAAGAAAACCACAGTAAAAGTTTCACAATATACATTAGATTGTCATTAGTATTAAAACAGATAACGTAGACACCATGATCACCTGGGCACACCTGTAGATGCACACAATTATACACGCACCAACACCATGTGCATGCAAGTACAGTAGTACAGTGTGCAAGGTGAATTACTCTCATGTACATTTACCTTATGTAATAACAATGATCACCAATGACACACCAGAAACCAGACCCTAAACCAGAAAGAAAATGAGTACAGAAGAATTTTCCTGTATGAAATAGCTGCTGACCCATCTGGAGGTTGGCTGTCAGACTCTTGGCTGGGATATTTTGGAGCGAGTGGGTCGGGGGTACCGTAAGGTCTGTATACAGACATGGTTTATAATATAAAAATTAGAAGAATAAGAATTTACCATAATAGACCTTAGAACTGTACTACAAACATTTACTTGCATTGCAATATTGTTTGCATTATTGAGGTTTATAGTAAACTTTATACATGTATTACAATGTATTAAGATGATACATCAGCAGTGGTTTTAATTCTTAAAAAAAAGGTCATACACACCCCTCTCGGATGGTTTGCTCCACATCCTTGGCTACATTATAGAAGCTGATGACGTGGTCTAGAGAGGACAGGGTCTTGTCAATATCTGAGGGGTTTGGTCAAGAACATAGTCAAAAATATAAATGTACAGTAAGTAATGACTTTCGGCAAACCCTAGCCATAAAAACCAGTGACAATGGCATCTGTACCGTTGTGTAAATGTGTTTTAATGTTATGTCCTTGCATGTGAATATATCAATTTATATCACTGTAGTATATAATGTAACTTGCAATAAATAAATCAAAGAGGACTGTCATTGGCTCTTACAAATAGTTTTTTACCAACCAGAATTTGTTGTTTGGGTTTGTGCTTATTGTACATAAACAGGATAACTAGAAGCTATAAATGAAATTTTATGATTCCTTTTTCATGGGTAAGAACCAAGGGCTATCTTCCCTCTAGTTTTACACCATGGCTGTTGATGAGGCTGAAAAAGGATACTGTCTTGAAGTTTCTGAAGGTTTTTGGTGTCCCTGTGCACTGGCACGATGGTGTCCTCTAGCTTGTGTAAACGGCTACTGAAGGATTCCAGTATAGACACCTGTAATGTATACGTAAGAAATTCTTACTGTTAGGAACATTGTAATAATTATTATAACAAGTACTTAAATATTGAACATTCAGCCAGTAGTGCAAAACAAATCCTTATCCAGGAACGTCCTGTCAATAGTGCAAAAATATTCTTGAATATTGTTTATTGACAAGAACATCCTGACAAATAATTCACTATTTCCTCGATAAAGAAAAAAATTAACGTTATATAACGTTATAATATTTTACTCACCATGTTTTCCGTCAGCTGGTTGCTCTTGTTAAGACTGTCTTTCAGAAATGCCAGCTTCTGTGTCTCCTGTGTGTAGGAGAAATACGATTTTGTGAACTTACAGAAATATTATACCAATCTCCTTGATATACCTACATAGAGCAGAATTTACTACTATAAATTTTTGACAGAAAAATGGGGGAGGGGCACCCCAAAGTATCTCACCATTTGCAGCTTTTCGTCGATCTCCCGCTTCTTAGCCGACAGATCTTCCATCTTGGAAAGCTGGGGATATTTTCTCGCTCTGGTACAGAAATGCGCTATGTTCTCAACTCACAGAACGCGAGAAAATGTTGTTGAAATGCTACAATCTCTAAACAAACCATCCACGGTCGGCCATCTTGAATCCCTGTGGGAATTAAAGGGTAACAAGGAGGTTAGGCTAAATTCATTTCTTGCTCAAACTTTGATCAATAAACCTCCTTGCTTTGACCAACGAAAAGTTTTCGTATTGGTTTTTAATTCTTAGTAATCAGATGATAATTCATATGGCAAAAATGTATCAAACTTTAATTTTAGAAGCGAGAAATTACAAACTGGTATCCGCTTAAACTATCACAGAGCCTCCCTCTCCCAGCATTCCTTGCACAAAATGGCGTCCAGCGTGGGCTAAATTTTTGCCAACAAAAACAAATTTGGTATTTTACTAGTTTCAGTCAGTCTACAGAGGTTTTATCTAAATTCAGCTGCATTCAGAAGGTAGCCAAGATGGGGAGGAGGTCGATCAACACCACCAAGAGTGGGAAATACATGAACCCCACCGATCAAGCGAGTGAGTACCTCAACACCTAGCCAGAAAATAATTTTACATTTTCAACATCATTCATGGATGTCTGTATAATGTTACTTTCCTGACAAACCGTAGTCTTGTTAACATAACAGAAGTTTAAATGAGTTTAACGTCGTCTGGTACTTTGTATCTCCACATTTGGGGAAGATACTGTAAGTAATTTGTATACAAATGTATCTTAATACTAGTACTAGTAATAGAGTCAATCCATATAAATTTTCATGCATACCAGAAAATATTGACATAACATATTTTGTCCCTTCTCAGGAAAAATGGCTCGAAAGAGAGAACTGAAGAAAGTAAGTACACATATTCGCATTGCCCCTGTCATTTAACATAGCTCATATTTGTACATATTTGTAGCTCTTTTTTTTTTTCTTGTCCCTTGAATCATGTCCAAACATTCAACCCCAATGCTTTGAAGTCAGTTTGCAAAGAAATTGAACACCACCTTTGCAGACAACTTTTATACTGATACATTGTACTTGTTTTTGTCTCAACCATTAGAACAAGAAGCAGCGAATGATGGTTCGACATGCAGTACTGAAGTCCAAAGACCCAAAACAGATTCTGGTGGACATGGAGAAGCTTGACCAGATGGGTGAGCTCAGTGTTTAGTTAATCATTTTATTTCCAACGTATTAGTTTCGTATGTCTTGCTTACATGTAATAACGCTGTAATTATGTACCTGTGTAAGGTAGTTCAATGATTATTCCAACTGGTTTCTTTCCTCAGAGTTTGACTCAGCCCAACCCATCCGTCTGAACGAAAAAGTTCTGAGAGACAAGAGGAAGAAACTGAGGGAAACTTTTGACCGAGTTCTAAAGCTATATGTGAGTAGACTCAGTAGAGTAATACAAGTTATCTACATTTGATGGCATCTTTACTTACACTACATGACATAACATGGACACAACAATATTCAATTACACTGAAGAGTATGTATAGAGTTTTTTCTTCATCAAAGTTAATTTTGACCAATCTTTACACATGTTTGCTGTGTGGTTTTCAGGAAAAAGAGGATCCTACTCTGTGCGATGAAATGAAGAGAATGATGGTGGAATATGAGAGGAGAAGACAACAAGCAATCACATACTTTGGTAAGAACAAGCACTTTTGATATGTAGTCATGGATAGCATGACCACTGTTCATTCACTGTTGGCCTTTCATTAACTGGGCAAGAATGTTCGAAGTCTAACCCATTTATTTCCGTTGTTCCAGAGTCGGTGAAACATGCCCAGCAGGTGACAGTGGAAGACATCCCCCTCCCAGAGCAGCCTGACCTACCACAAAGTAGGACATCATTCCTAGTTCATATCATGCTATAATTTTATTGTACATTTTGTATTAGTGAATTAAATACATTATTGTATTGGTGTCTGGGGCTGTGTGTGTGTGAAGGAAATAAATTTACAATTACAGCGTGCAAATTTACAGTACAGTACAGCGTCCACTTGGCTTGCACCACTGTATCCGACAGATGCTTTTTAATTTTAGGTATTAATGGCTATTACTTAATATCAGTTAACCAAAGGCTGTTGAAATATTGTCAAAAGGCTTATGTATGTAACAATACTTAATTTGAGGAAAGTAGTAACTTATAGGTGGAGCAACCTAAAATTCTGATGGGCAACCTAATTTTTTGCCGTAGGTACTGGGCAACCTGGTTCAAAAAGTATTTTGTACACTGAATTATTGGACTTGACTTTCACTTGCTAATATCCATATATAGTTAAAACTAGAACAGAATTGTTGTAACTTGGTGTTTTTGTGTTTTTCAGATGTGTCCATGATTCCCCTGCCCAGTGACATTCCCCTCCCAGGAGCTCAGCCACACTCCATCCTCAAGAAGACTAGTGCCTATGGGTGAGCAGGGCAAAGCTTTATTCTCCTTATCATTGACCATAGTAATACTATGAAGAAAATAATAGAGAAACATGTAGTATTTCATACAGGCAGTTTAGCTGCTATTGCTGCTGGGCTCGAAATTTATTTTTGGGAATAGGTGCACTGGTGCACCCAACCTAAAAAATTGGGTGCACAAAAAAAATTTCTGGGTGCACCATACAAGATCAAATAAGTACCGGTAGAATGTCATCAAAAACTAATCATGTTACATTTCTAAAGAAAAGTACTATAACAATTGTAATATTTTTCTGACACTTAGATGTTAAGAATATGCTGTATACACCTATACATTTAACATCTTTAACGGAGGGGGCCCTGAGTTCGCCACTGTACCCCGAGTTCGCCACTTTGTGTTTCCTTTATTTTTTACGTGGAAAGGTAGAATGTTAGGGCTACTTCAATGATACTTCGAAACTAGGACAACCAAAGATTAATATGCATGTAGTATTCTGTTCAGGTCTAGTCAAGCGGAGATCTGCGTAACAACAACGGGGAGAGAGGACGCACGGCATGGGCACCACGTTTGGGTCGCGTGGCTGGCGACAGCGACCGTCTTCTATTCTCTGATTGTTTTAAATCGAAAAAATGGTTCTGGAAACTAGATATTATATGAAAAGACTTCTTAAAGATAACAAGAAACTGCAAAATAAAGATAGGATGGG